ATGCAATATAAAACAAAGCAACACATCTTTGCATCATTAAACAAATATCCACAATATAAATAAATGTACCACATCTTAAGTATTCTACAACATCCAACAGTAGTTTTGGAATTCCTAAAGATCTTATTGTGCCACAGCTTGCATGCTTGTTCTTCTAGAGGACACTGAAAATGGAGACATATTTGGACAGGAACATTCCTTAGTCTAGTTTGGTGTCAGATGTGAGAATGTCGACCAAACCCACTTGCCTTTCCTTAGTCAACTCTTATAAAACCACTTTCTTTTCATATTCATAGTAGGCTTTCTGGAACGGAAGCAGCTTTTGCATAAAAAGCTAACTCTGAGTACAAAAACACAATACTTGCAAATTTCCCCAAGTAAATGGTCATACAGATAGATCTGTCTGTCTATGTATCTCTCCGTCTCTCTATCTATCTGATAGTTCTCCTACACACCAAGTGACACTTGGTCCAAGACATGAAAAAACAGACACAACTCACAGTAATGCTAATTTGTGCACTTTATTCACAACATCAATTGATGGGAGATTTTTGTTGAGGATTATAGGGGTATGGGGCCTCATAATTAAATGCTTTCATATTCATTTGGAAGACTCAACAAACACAGGGACATCTCAGAGACACTAGAAAAGGAGAGTCACCAGCCACAGGGCCAAACTAGCTAACAGGAGACACATGGACCCAGACAAGAATAACCAGCTTAGATATAGCCAGGTGTGTTGGTACACACCTGTGATCCTAGCACTTGGGAAGCTGAGATGGGCAGACTGCTAACATGAGACTACCTAGTGAGTTCTAAGCTGCTATATATGCTACATAGTACAACTGTTTCAAACAAAACACAGGAAGTAGGAGAGGTAAGGGAAGAATAAACAGCTCAGAAACAGAAACAAGAGCACAGTTTAGAGGAGAGATTCACATTACTGGAAAGAAAGATGATTAATAAGTATTTTGGTAAAAATTAAAATTTAATCTTCATACACTTTCTAACAAACTATTAAAAGTGATCAAAGACAAAGAGATTTTAAAAGAAAACAAATCAAGCTGTAATGGAGGTGAAGACCATCTGAAGAGTTCTGGGCCAGCTGGGGCTACACAGGGATCATGTCTCAAATGAAACCAAACAAACCACACAAAAAGTGTGAGTGAGAGAGCAGAAACATTTCCAGTAAAAGCCTTGACCAGAAAACATCCTCAAACCTGAAAGTCACGGCTCTATTTTGCCAAACAATGGAACAGCCAAATGAAATTACCTGCAACTCTATACCAGATTGCCCTTATTTGCACAGTGAGAAATTGCAAACAATGTGACTTCTCTTAACCAGCCAGGATCATCACTGACCAGTCTGGCTGCCCATAGTCTATCACTATATTCAACGAGTTCCTTTCCTGTCACACTCACTCGTGCTTTGCAGTGTGTTGAGGAATATTTTATTTTAAGATGTGTTGCATGTGTTTATGCTGTGGAACATTTGTTTAAATGATGTAAAGATGTGTTGCTTTTGTTTATGTTGCATTTGTTTAACTCTATGAAGCTGTGATTCTTTGCCTATTTGGAACACCTCATGGTCTAATTAAGAGCTGAATGGCCAATAGTGAGGCAGGAGAAAGGATGGGGGTGGGATGGGGTGACAGGCAGAGAGCATAAATAGAAGGAGAAATGTGGGAAGAAGAGAAGAAACAAGACAGAACAAGGAGAGGAGGACATTGGCGGGCCAGCCACCCACGGAGTAAGAGTGAAAGTAAGGTATACAGAAATAGAAAAGTAAAAGCTCAGTGGCAAAAGGTGTGTGTGTGTGTGTGTGTGTGTGTGTGTGTGTGTGTGTGTGTGAGAGGGAGATTCGTAATTTAAGAAAAGCTGGTTAGAAACAAGCCAAGCAAAGGACCAGCGTTTATGATTAAGAATAAGCCCCCATGTAAGCCCCCATGTGTGATTCATTTGGGAGCTGGGTGGCAGGCCCCCAAAGAACAAAAGACCAAAGAGCTAAGAGCAAATAACAACTCTCTACAGTAGTGTATTAAACAAACTTGTTTTTGTTTTAAAGACTGAGTTTATTTTACCAAACAAAAGGTCATCACACACCAAGCCAAACCAGAATTAACCAACCAGCAAGAAACCTTATGCATATCAAAACCACCCTAAAGTCCCAAAAGTGGGGCTGAGGAAATGGCTGCTCTTCAAATCCCAGCACCCATATGGAGGCCCATAACCATCTGTAATTCCAGTTCTAGGGGATCTGACGCCCTCTTCTGACCTCCTTAGGAACTATACACATGCGTGCAGACAAAACACCCATACACACATAATAAATCTAACAACAACCCTCCCCAAATAGCCCTAAACATAGGGAAGAATTTAGTGTTTGACACAGGTATATTTTCAAGTAAACTGAAAGATAAATTATTTGATATAGTGGACACTGTTAGCAATGGTTATGATTTAGGGGAAGAAGTGAACCTGTATTATAAAATTCTAAAATTCCACGTAGAACCAACATTTTACAAGTACCAGACAAGGTGAAGAGGTGGCACAGTGGTTAAGAGCACTGGCTGCTCTTCCAGAGGATCTGAGTTCAATTCCCAGCATCCACATGGCAACTCACAACTGTCTGTAACTCCAATTCCAGGAGATCAATACCCTCACACTGACATACATGCAGACAAAACACCAATGCAATAAAATAAATACATTATTTAAAAAAGAGTAACAGACAAAACCAGATTATTTAGAAAATAATCTTGAAATAAGGAAGCCCTTTAAAACATAGCAATAAGCCAAAATACTTTAATGGAAAGTATTTGCCCATAAAACAAAAACATCTAGTTGTTGGTGGCATATGCCTTTAAACCCAACACTCAGGAGGCAGAGGCAGGTGGATCTCTGTGCATTCAAGGACAACCTGGTCTACAAAGTGGGTTCCAGGACAGCTAGGGCTGCTACACAGAGAAACTTTGCCTCAAAAAACCAAAAATAAGTGAAAAACAAACAAATAAAACAAAACTAAAGAAGATATTGTGGATGGTGTAAAAAGACACATAAGAAGTGTGTGTTTTAACACACACAAAAGAACACACGCTCTGGGCGTGGGTGGTACACACCTTTAATCCCAGCACTCAGGAGGCAGATCTCTGAGTTCAAGGCCAGCCTGGTCTACAGACCAAGTTCCAGGACAGGCTTCAAAGCTGTCTTGAAAACAAACCGGAAAAAGTACACCTGCTGGTTAATCTGAATGAGAATACAAACAGCTAAAAGCCAAATACAGAGATTTTACCCTCACCAGTAAAAATTGAGAATGGAAATGGAACCATCTTTACGTCAAGAATGCCCAAGGAACTGGCTCCATATATGGTGGCAAGGTGGCTCACTAGTACCCTCATTCTGCTTCTTTGTCCCCCACAAGGAAATCCCAGTGTGCAAAGTGACAGAACTGATGTCCACACAGCTTTAAACAGAAGTGCCTGTCTAGTAGGTAGTATAGCACAGTGGAGCTTTCCTTTTTATTTATTCATATTTTATGTATGAGTGCTCTGCATGTATGCCTTAAGAGGGCATCAGATTCTATTACAGATGGCTGTGAGCCATTATGTGGTTGCTGAGGACTGAACTCAGGTCCTCTGGAAGAGCAGCCAGTGCTCTAAACCACTGAGCCATCTCTCCAGCGGAGCTTTCCTTTTCTATTGATAACAAAAAAGTATGAGCATGCACCAGCAGTAGTACTTGCTTCCAATTATTCTAGGAAGATACACAGGAAACAGCTCCCAGTGTCATCGTGCACTGGGACATCGTTCACGGACAGGGCACTGCAGACATTTAAAAGAATTCTTGTGCACGAGGAAGATGGCTCAGTGCGCACCAAGTCCTCCGGCCTTAGAGAGTACGTCACCTCCCACATACAAGGGAATTGTCTATATTTTTCCAGTGTGTGTGTACCCACACACCGGCAAGCACTTGGAGCCCAGAGGACAACCTCAGGTGTCATTCATCAGAAGCCTTTCACCTGGGAGGCAACAGGGTCTCTTATTAGGCTGTGACTCAAGTAAGGTAGTGAGTTCCAGGGATCTGTTATCTCCTCCCGGGAGCTGGGGATAACAACATTCGTCAGCACATTCGGTTTTTTAAAAAGTGAGTTCTGGTGATCCTGATTCAGGTGTTCAACTGAACCATCCTCCTTTCCCGGCAATATCACTTTCTGTTAAAATTTAAATACAAACCGGCGAGATGGCGCCACAGTTAAGAACACATGTTCTCCAGAGGACCTATATTCGATTCCCAGCACCTACGTGACTGCTCACAGCCGGGACCCGGTGCCCTCTTCTAGCTTCCGTTGCCACCAGGTATGCGCGCACTATACAGATATACAGGCAGACAAAACACATAAATACACATAAAATAAAAATTAAACAAGGAAATGCCGCATTAGAGAAGTTGTTGTCACCCACTAAAAGGGGATTTTTGCAAAGTAACAAACAAGAAAGCATCAGCAGAGAAATAAATTCAAGAAGAAGCTGGGTTATGTGGAACTGGGCACCTGTACTTTGACAGGAAACAGGATGCTGCAAGGGTCTGTGCGCGGCCGCTAAGACCGTGCAAGTGACTTAAAACCCTGTACAGTGGCCCTGACGGTAGCCACGGTTATGGTGGAGGATCTTAAGGACCCAGGACTACCAGGGCCGTGTGGGAAGCGGTGGTTTTTTTTTTTTTTTTTTTAAACCAAACAAAACCTCATCCACATCCCAAGCTAAAGCAAATTAATTAGCCACTAAGAAACCTTCTGCACATCCATCCCGACCCAGGCTAGCGGGAGCCACCGTGAGGGGTCCAGGGAAGTCCTAGGGAGGGTCCTAGGACGGAGGGTGCGGCCTGGGGTCAGCATCCGGGCTGCAGCCATCCTTCGGGGGAGGGACTGGCGCACGTGAGGACGCGGAGCTTGGGTGCGGATCAAAGAGAGGGTCCCGCGCATCCGACAGAACGCCACTCACCATCGACCGCAACCTTTCGCCCTGCGGCGGCTGCCTCAGCTCCCTAAGACAAAGGGGCCGTCCCGCCTGGTCTGCGCAGTCGTCAATCCCAGGGGGCCCCGCCCCTGTCCCCACCCCCCACCCCCAACCACGTCTGAGGGTTGGATTGTCCCTGACTCGCCTCTGGCTTTTCTTGGTCCAGGGCTCCTGGCCTGCGATGCGGGCCACTGAGAGCCTAGGCCTCTGCGTTGCCTAGAGAGACGGCGCCATGACAGGGACCGCGCCTGCTCTGAGGAAGCGGCGGAAGCGGGTGTCCAGTTCCTCTAAATACGAGTGCCTCCCCGCCTCGCCCCCTCTGCTTGAGGGGGGCTTTGGCCATTTCCGCCAAGCTCTTGCTTGCCTTCTAGCGATTTCCTTGGTGGTCAGGCAGCCAGGAGCGCTCCCTCGTTCCAGTTCCAGAACCCATCAGCCCGACACCGGCTGCTTGGGTTTGTGCTATAGTAATATGTTTAACTGCTTAAGGAATCGCCAGCCTTTCTATCATGTTTCTTCATCAGCACATCCTTAGACTCAGGAGTGTACAACTGTTCCAATTGCTGCTTTTAATTGCCCACACTTGGTATAAGCGTTTTTGGAAAACGAGTTATTCTACGGCTAGAGAGGTGCAGCAGTCAAAGTGCTGCACACCCTTGAGGATCTGAGTTTGGTCCCTATTACCCATGTAAATAAATATGGCTGAGTGTGATAGTAATCCCAACACAAGGAAAGGTGAGACAGGACAGATTCCCCAGGCCTCTGGCTGCAAGACCCTCAAAATGAGGAGTCTCCTAGTTTCGGTCGGTACCCCCAAGAACTCAATGGCCAGTCCAGTTGATGCAACATGTAAGATTTAATGAATGTTTGTGCAAATGGGTTCCCTCAGCATGCAGGCTAGAGAGAAGCATCATTCTCCAGGCACAGGCGTTTTTAAAGACAAAGCCCACAAGCTTAGGGAGTGGAGTGTGACCCTCAGTCTATTGAGTACTTGACTCTAGGGTCAGCAGACCTTAGGGCCTTGGGGTGTGCTAATTAATCTTGTCTGGGCAAACCGAAGTTGCAGCTATCTCTTTGTTTCTTAAGGACCATATTTACCACCTGCTGACTCACTGAAAGAAGGGACAATGTGAATTCTTGGTACCCTGCTATCTCAGGGCCAGTGGTTAGCAAATTCCAGGAGCTAAGTCACAGTGGCCTTGGATAGCTTTCTGGGTCAGATTGCCCTTCATTTCAATTATTTGGGCTCCATTTCATTTCTTTGCTAGTTTAAGTCTTTCATGGCCAGCCAGACTGGTCTAACTGGCAAGCATCAAGTTCCAATGAGCCTTTTCAAAAAACAAGTAAGGAAACATCAAGGTGGATGGCTCCTAAGATGGATCTCCAATCTTCCATATGCAAACACACTCTTTGCTGACAATTCAACCCAAGGACTCTTGTATGTTGTTTGTTTTCCAGACAAGGTTTCTCTGTATTGCTTTGGAAGCTGTCTTGGAACTAGATCTGTAGACCAGGCTGGCCACGAACTCATAGAGATCCCCTTGCCTCTACCTCCCCAGTGCTGGGACTAAAAGCATGTGCCACCAATGCCTAGTGGGACTCTTGTATGTTAAACATATGGTCTCCCACTGAGTTGCACTGGATCCTACCCCTCTATTAAGGTTTTAACTTTTATTTTTCTAATTGTATTAGTTACTTGTTTTCTGTTGTGACAGAATACCTAACAAGAGCTGCTTAAGGGGTTATTATTATGTTTAGCTGGCTGTTAATGTGTTTTTTTGTTGCTGTTTTGTGGTTTTCCAGACAGGGTTTCTCTGTGTAACAGCCCTGGCTGTCCTGGAACTCACTGAGTTCCACCACCACTCCCTCCTAGATGAGTTCTCTTGTTCTTTTGTAAGACCCTCAGAATGAGAAGTCTCCCGGTTTTGGTCGGTACCCCCAAGAACTCAATGACCAGTCCAGTTGCTGCAACACGCAAGAGGCTTTAATAAACAGGAAACGTTTGCACAAACGGGCTCCTCCAGCATGCAGGCTAGAGAGAAGCACCATCCCATCGGGCACAGGTGTTTTTAAAGGCAAAACCCACAAGCTTAGGGAGGGGGTGGGACCCTCTATCCATTGAGTATGTGATCCTTTGAGGCCGGATGGTCTCGCTATTAGGGTCAACAGACCTTAGGGCCTCAGGGTGTGCTAATTAATCTTGTCTGGGCAAACCAGAGGTACAGTTATCTCTTTGTTTCTTAAGGACCCTATTCACCACCTGCTGACTCACAAGAAAGGAGGGGCAGTGTAAATTCTTGGTATCTTGTTATCTCAGGGCCTTGTGAGGGGGGGAGTTAGCAAATTCCAATGAACAGATATTGGTCTGGGTTAGCTTTCCAGGTTAGTCTGTCCATTTCAAGTGGGGGGGGGTCTTTAATTTTACTTTTTTGTCTTTCACTTTAAAGAACGATGGTTTGGGACTGGATATGGGACTTCGGTCTGGAAATGGAGATAAGGAACAAAAGCCTTATGGACCAGGTTGGAATTTGTGTGATGGAGAAGACATTGCATTTTTAAGTGTGTTTTACTCTATTTGAAAGTGTGTTTGCACACTTGAATGCACTATTTGTGGATGAGGGCATCTAATCCCCTGCAGCTGTAATGATAGGTGGTTGACAGCTGCCAGAAGTGTATGCTGAGAGTCAAACTTTGGTCCTCTGCAAGAGTAGTGTATACTTTTTTAAGTTTTATGTGCCCTCCTGTTTTGTTATGAGTATTGGGTCCTCAGGAACTGGAGTTACAGACAGTTGTGAACTGCCATGTGAATGCTGGGAATTGAACCCAGGTCCTCTGGAAAGAGCAGTCAATGCTTTTAACCAATGAGTCATCTTTCCAGCCCCAAGAGTAATATATACTCTTAATTGCTGAACTGTCTCTTCAGCCCCAGGGGCAGCCAGTGTTAAATCAGGACAATAAGCTGAAGGGTACATTCAGAGAAGTCACAATATAGAGGCTGTTGATGTCCATGAGTTCAGAAGGGAAGGTGTGGGGGCCCTGGAGATATTTTGAGGATATGAACACATTTATTATTGCTATAGTTGAGCTCTCTGGAAAGTCAGACACAGGTCCAAAATTGCTCAAAAGAACAAAGAGAAGTGGTGTGTATGGTGGCTCATCTTTTCAGCTTCATGGGATATAGAATCACCTTGGAAACCAAAAGGCATATATACATATAAAGGACTGTCTACATAGGTGGACCTGCCCTAAAGGCAGGCAGTCCCATTCCATGAGTCAGAGTTCTTGACTGACTGAAGAGCAGTGAACTGAGTACCAGCATGCATCACCCTCCTCCCTTGATTACAGCTGCAATGTGACTGGCTGCCTCACACTTACACCATGCACCTTCCCACCATGATAGACTGTACTTGACCTTGACCTTCGAGTCACAGTAAACACCTTCTTTACATTTCTTCCTTCCTTTTTTTTTTTTTTTTTTTTTTTTTTTCCCCAAGACAGGATTTCTCTGTGTAGTTTTGGAGCCTGTCCTGGAACTCGCTCTGTAGACCAGGCTGGACTTGAGATCACTGAGATCTGCCTCTACCTCCTGAGTGCTGGGATTAAAGGAGTGTGCCACCACTGCCTGGCTCAAGTTTTTTTTTTGTTTTTGTTTTTGTTTTTTTTTTCCGGGTATTTGTCAAAGCAATGACAGTTAACTAATGCTGTGGCTTCGGCACCACTGTTTCTAAGACTACACAAAAGTTTGGGCTTGACTCCTAAGCAAGAAGCACCCAGGCTTCTTTATCAGCAGATCTATATGTAGATGCACAAAGAGGTAGTCTGAGGCCAATAGCTTCTTCAGGGATGCTAGAGAAGTTGCTCAGTGGTTAAGAGCACTGGCTGTTCTTCCAAAGGAACAGAGTTCAGATCCTACCTAGCACTAACACATCAGCTCCTCCTATAACTCCAGTTCCAGGGGTTCCGAACCCTCTTCTGACCTCTGTGGGTACTGCATGCAGGTGGTGTATACACATATGTGCAGGCAAAATGTCCCTACACATAAAATAATAATAATAAATAATAGTAATAAGTAAGAGTCAGAGTTGGAGAGATGGCTCAGCATTAAGAGCATGTGTATCTTTTCCAGAGAGTTTGACTCCTAGTACTCATGTCAGGTACCTCACAAGTGCCTGTACTTCAACTCCAGGGGCATCCAACTCTTGCCTCGCTGGGCACATATCTGCATACACACACACACATACACACACACACACACACACACACACACACACACACACTGAGCCACACTGTTCATTAGAATTTACTGCTGATGTTCAACTGACCCCTTCTATTTCACTTAACTCAATTTGAACTTGTGAAATTGTCCAGGATTACTGGACAGGATTCTGAGAAGTGAATATTGAGGCTGGGGAGATGGCTCAGTGGTTAGGAGTACTAGCTGCTCTTCTAGGACCCAGGTTTGATTCCCAGCACCCACATGGTGGTTCACAACTGTTTATAACTCAAGTTCCAAGTGGTCTGGCCTCTTTGGGCACCACACATGCACGTGGTACACACACATACATGAAGGCAAGGCATATATGCATATACATATGTATATATAGATTTTAAAACAGGGGAGCGAGAGAAACAAATGGAATGATTTGTTCACTATCAGTAGTGTTTGGAGTTCAGGGTGTGATGAGGATTCTTAATGTTGAAGCATCATTTGTAATCTGACACATCTGTGGTCTTGATTTGTACCTGAGCTACTGAGCAGTAAGACATCCCTAGAGTTCTTCACAACCAAGTCTTAGGAAGAAGCCTAAGATTTTATAGACATGTGCAGATAGGGATATCTGCAGGCTAAGGATTCCAGTACTAAGATGATGTCCTTGAGTTTGGCCAGATGTGTTGACTTTTTGTGTGGCTGACCAGGGGTGTTCCACTGAAGGAGAGGAAATCAGCCATTTCTTGCTGAGCTGCGCTGTCCACTCAGCACATTCAGCATCTCAAAGTTCTCTCTCCGCAGTCCATAAGAATGGCGGGGCGAAGAGAGATGGAGTCTTGCATTATTGTGCCATTAGCATAACCTGAACTACTACAAGCAGGTTTTCCATTTGGACTTACATGGGGACTAAACTGATAAATAATTCAGAACTTTCAGCCTCCTCATAATGGGTTTATAATAAAAAGAGTTGTTACTATTTATTCATGTCTCCCGTTTTCATTTGAAGAATTTTATGGTTTAAAAGTGGAGGTATTGCCAGGTGGTAGTGGCACACGCCTTTAATTCCAGCAGGAGCAGGCTGATCTCTGTGAGTTCGTGGCCAGCCTAGTCTACAAAGGGAGTTCCAGGACAACCAGGACTGTTACACAGAGAAGCCCTATCTTGAAAAACAAAGAAACCAAAACAAAAAAGTGGAGGTCTCTTACATGACAGGGACCAGGGAAGGCCTAACAGGGAACCTAAAAGAAACAACCCTAAAAACTTTCATAGCAACTATGAAAGTGGAAAAAGATCCATGCAAGACACAAGTATAGTATTTTCCTTGTATCAGGGTGGAATGTGGAATGCATTCCCTGGAGCAAAACAGCCACTGTCTTCACCAGAAGTGCTCTAATATATAAAGGGAGGGAATTGAAAGGGGGTTTTATCCATGCAGTTTTAGAGAAGCCATCCTCTAAGATGGGTGACGATTGATTTTGTAGTGTGATTCCTACAGGGCCATCCATGCTCCTTCCAGCAACCCTTCATCAATGCTCTATAAGCAAGCCCAGTAACTCAACTGCCTGGTTGAATTTTAGTGGAATCATACTTTTGTTTGTCATTGGGACCTTTTTTTTTTTTTTTTGAGATAGGGTTTCGCCGTGGCTTTGTAGATCAGGCAGGACTCAAAACTCAGAGATCCACTTGCCACTGCCTCCTGAGTGCTGGTCAGAAAGTGAAAACTATAGCTTTGTGGGGCATATGGTATCTATGACAGCATTCAATTTTGTCATGCAAAAGCTGCCAGCAAAAGGGCATCAGTGTGTTCTGATAAAATTTCTTTTACTCAAAAAGACTGGATTTGGTCTGGTTGGGGGTGTGTCCTGTGACACTCTATGTCTACCTAGTAGCTGCTAAGCTGCTATCTGGGGACTTCTCTGGGGATGGATATGTTGTACTTGAGCTTTCTCCCTGTTCAGAGCATAGGAGCACAGTTCTGGGAAAGTGAAGAGGTTAGTGACCTAGTATACTCTGTGTGTGTGTGTGTGTGTGTGTGTGTGTGTGTGTGTGTGTGCGCGCGCGTATACCCAGAAAGTGCTAGGTCTCAGGCATTCCAAATATCCAGAAACCATCCTATAATCTACTTTGTGCAGTGTTTCAGCATCAGATGTATGCAAGGGGGCACAATAAAGAACCTGCCAACACGACAGCTCTGTTATTAGGGTTAGGGATTTTATTGAGCGTTAAGAGAGAAAACACTTAGAGGCACCTGGAGAAGTTCAGAACTGAAAGAGAAAGCAGCCTGGATGTGGCCAGTGTTAGGGAAGTAAAAGAGCGGGAGAGAATAGTGGAGACTGGGAGGTAGCAAGAGATAGAGAGAATAGAGCATAGAGAGGAGATAGAATAGGGAGAATACCAGGGGTGGGGAGTATAAGAGCTGGGCTTTGAAATGTCTAACAACTACTTGCTGAGTAGGGACTGAGGAAACCTGAAGATGGCATGGGCTTTGATACACAGCTACAGGTGCATGTCAATTGAGAGATGTATGTCCTTTCTGCCAGGGTAAGGGAAATGACTCCTTTTGGCAGATGGGAAATGGTTTCACAAGTTCACAAGTAATGTTGGCTTTTATCTAACCAGCAGATGTCCTCATACAATCCAGTGTGAACTCATTTCTGGACACAGGGACTGCCTAAGACCGAACAGAAAGTACTCCAAAAATGATGTTGAATACATGTGTGAAAAGATGGCCTGGAAGCTTGTGGGGGAAGAGATGAGAAAGCTATGAAACTGGGTGGTGGTGGCATGCACCTTTAATTCCAGCACTCGGGAGGCTGAGGCAGGCCCATCTCTGTGAGCTTGAGGCCAGTCTGATATGCAAAGCGAGTTCCAGGATAGCCAGAACTGTTACACAGAGAAACCCTATCTTGAAAAAACAAAACAAAAGAACAAAGAAAGAAAGGAAGAAAGAAAGAAAAGAAAGAAAGAAAGAAAAAGCAAGCTATGAGGTATTTAGGGCTTTTTAGATAGTTTTTTACTAGCTTCCTGGGGTCATTGGAGAGTTAGGCTGTATTTTTCCACATCCTATCACCTATGACTAAATGCTAAATGAAAGAATTACAGATGTTATTTCCAGCCAAAGGTCACATTACTTCTTTTTTTTTTTTTTTTTTTTTTTTTTTTTTTTTTTTTGAGACAAGGTTTCTCTGTATTGCTTTGGAGCCTGTCCTGAACTAGGTCTGTAGACCAGGCTGGCCTTGAACTCACAGAGATCGCCTGCCTCTGCCTCTGCCTCCCGAGTGCTGGGATTAAAGACATGCACAACCAACACCCAGCTTACATTACCTATTTTTGTACCTTTTGATTACAATAGTAAACTGTGAACATGAAACCTTTGTCATCTTTTTTTTCCTAACCAATATGAGTATGTTCAATCCATAAAACCAACAAAATGCAGATTAAGTGGTCACATGAGTCAGCAGTAACAGCAAAAGAGAGCCTTGAAGGATGTTTCATAGGAGGGCCCTAGGTTTTGTGGCAGCTGGGTATAAAAACAGTGAGCCTGGCTTCAAGTCTAAGAAGAGACAAGGGCCAGAAGAATCTGAGAGGAACCGTGGTCCAGTTCTACTCCCGCCAGCCTCCAGGCTACTTCTTTGTGTGAATTAACTGGTGTTTCACTAACTTTGAACGCTGGTTGAAGGCTTTCCCACAAATAGAACAGTCATAGAGCTTCACATCAGTGTGAATCCTTTGGTGCTGGATGAGGACTGAATGCTGACTGAAGGCTTTCCACACTCACTGCACTGATAGGGCCTCTCTCCAGTGTGGATTATTTGATGTTGAATGAGATGTGAGCTCTGGCTGAAGCCCTTACCACATTCAACACATGTGTAGGGCTTCTCCCTGATGGGAGATGTCATTCTGTATATGTTTCTCATACTGGTTAATAAATAAAGCACTGTTGGCCAATAGGAAAGGAGGATAGGAGGGACTGGGAGACAAGGAGGAAGAGGAAGTAGGAAGGAGGAGTCAAGATGGAGAGTCTGGAGAAAGCAGTATGCTGCCGGCTCCCCGGTAAGAGAAATACATAGATCAGCAGAAATGGGTTAATAATTAAGGCAGAGCTAGCCGATAAGAAACAAGTAACCGGGCCAACAGCATAGTATCAAATACAGAGTCTCTGTGTGTTATTTGGGGCTGGCGCGGCCGCGGGACAAGACCAGCGGCGGCAGGCAGAAAAACAGTACTCCTTACATCTCCCCAGTGTGAACTTTCTGGTGGTGGATGAGATTCGAGCTTCGGTTGAAGGCTTTGCCACATTGGCTACATTCATGAGGTTTTAACCCATTGTGAATCCTCTGGTGCTGAATGAGGGTTGAACTTTGGCTGAAGGTCTTCCCACATTCAGCACATTCATAAGGTTTTTCTCCAGTGTGGACTCGATGGTGAAGGACAAGGTTGGAACTACGACTGAAGGTCTTTCCACATTCGTGGCACTCATAGGGCTTGTTTCCAGTGTGCACACCTTGATGCTGGATGAGAGCTGAGCTGTGGCTGAAGGCCTTCCCACAGTTACTGCACCTGTACGGCTTCTCTCCTGTTTGAATTATTTGGTGCTTCCTGAGCACAGAACTGTAACTAAAGGCTTTCCCACACACACTGCACACATGAGGCTTCTCTCCAGTGTGAATTCTCCGATGCTGAATAAGGCTAGAACTCTGGCTAAATGCTTTCCCACAGTCACTGCATTGGTAAGGTTTCTCTCCAGTATGAACTCTGTGATGCTTAATGAGGTTTGAGATGCGACTGAATGACTTGCCACAATCATTACACTCAAATGGTTTCTCTCCAGTGTGAACCCTCTGATGCTTCCTGAGGTGTCCACTCTGGCTAAAGGCTTTACCACACTCATTGCACTCGAAAGGCTTCTCACCCGTGTGAATTCTGTGGTGTTTAATGAGGTTTGAGGTGTGCCTGAAGGCTTTCCCACACTGGTTGCATATATACGGTTTTCCTTCAGAATGGATTCTTTGATGCTGGATGAGGTTTGAGCTCCTCCTGAAAGCCTTTCCACATCCACTGCATTCATAAGGCTTTTCAATCATGTGGGACTTTTGGTGTTTTTTAAGGCTTGAGTTCTGGCTGAAGGCTTTCCCACATTCCTTACACACATAAAACTCATTGTGTTGGTGAACCTGATGCCTTGCAAAGTCTCTGTGCCCCTGAAACACTTTGGTATACTTGCCACGTTGGCAGGGTTTCACATTTAGGTAAGGTTGCCAGTGGTTTTTAAGAACAGAGTGCTGGCTAATGGATATTCTGCATTCAGAACACATAAAAGACTTCTCTCCAAAGTTGGCTCTCTGATGCCGAACAAGGTCAAGGCTTCCTCTGAATGTTTTCCCACAACCAATACATATGAATGGGCTTTCAAGTGTAGGAAACCCCTCCCGGCCAGTTAGGTCTGTACTGTGCTGAAAGTTCTCTGGAGAGTAGCATGGGTGTGGCCTCTCTTCTGTAGAGATTCCCTGACACACTAATGGACTCCGGCTCAAACTGATGTTTTTGTCAAAACCATTACAAATCAGATCTTTCTCTCCTAAAGGGCCCTTAAGGAACATGGTCACTGATGTGACATCTCCCTCCCAGTAGAGGGGCTATACAAGGCTCTCTCCTTCAGAGACATTCCAGTTTCTTCCTCATATTTCATCACAGAGCTCTCCAAACCTGGGAGACCAAGAAACATTACCCGCACAACTGTCTGGTATTGCTGCCTGTGATTCCAAATGGGCAAAAATGTGCTCCTTTGGATAAACTTCTCAGTACTACAATCTGAAACAATAAATACTAAGTTAAAGGAGGGCCTGCAGCTGGCACAGTAAACACATCTACAGAACTCACTTCTATGGAGGAAGCAATAGGCCCAGGAAAGGTGTGGAAGGGCTAGGAGAGCTTCTAGGCCACAGGACTAGCTGAAGGCCAGCAAGACCGACCTCTCCTCTCCAGGGTTCCACACATCAAGGATGCACTTTCAGTTTGCCCATTGGTTCAGAACAAGATTCTAAGCATCTTTCAGTTCCATCTTCTGTTCATACCCAGCTCTATCTGTTGGCTCTATCTAAAAATAAAATAAAACATAAAATAAAAATTAATATTTACTATATATTTATACATAGCATTATATATTGTATATAATATTTAATGCATATTAATATATAGCTATATCTACACAGATAATGATAAACAAATTAATATAATATATAATAAGATATATAATTATAAAACAAAAAAGCACCCAAACCCAAGTGCTCTTCACTGTCCTGTCATGTAAAAGGAAATAGCACAGGCACACACAATTTTGTAAAAACTTTACCATGTGTGCACATCGTAACACACATGTGATGGTTAGAAGACAGCTTACCGGAGTCGGGTCTCTCCTTACACCTGGTGGGTCTCACCGGTCAAACGCAGGTCATTAGGCTTGGTGGCAAGAGCCCTTACCCACTAAGTCATCTCATCTACAGTCACACATTTGAAATTCCTGTTTTTTTTTTTTTTTTTTTTTTTTTTCCCAGAATGCAGTCTTTTATGTGGTTAGTGTCAGCTAATGGAATTTAGACTTATTCTTAGAATCCACCAGCATGGAGAGGTGATACCCTGCTGGAGGTGTGGGGATGGATGCTCAGTAACTTTGATGAAGTAACTACTTCTCAGCTGTGGGACTGCCAACCTGGAGCACTTTGTCTGGCTCCCCCTGTGGTCTTGCTGCAGAGTCCTCCCCTAATTGCTGCACATACATGATAGTTTTGGACCTTCCTCACCCATCTCTATTGTCTCCTATAATGTCTTGGCTATTTTATGTTTTTATTTTTTTTGTTTTTAGAGACAAGGTTTCTCTGTGTAGCTCTGGAGCCTGTCCTTGAACTCAGAGATCCGCCTGTCTCTGCCTCCCGAGTGCTGGGATTAACTGTGTGTGCCACCACTACCTGGCTGACTTGTTTCATTTTTATTTAATGGTTTACTTAGGTGACATTCACATATTAATCATTCTACAGAAGACACTCCAGTGGCATTGAGAATATTCAGTGTTGTGCAACCAACAACTAGCTAGTTTTCTTTTTCTTTCTTCCTCCCATCCTCCCTCTCTTTTGAGATAGGGTCTCACTTTGTAGCTTTAGCTGTCATGGAACTCATTTTGTAGACCTCACTGGTCTTGAACTCACAGAGACCAGCCTGCCCTCTCCACGACTGCCCCAGTGCTGGACTTAATGGTACATCGCTACACACAACCAGCTTTACTTCTAAAACATTTCTATCACTGCAAAGTAAAACCGTCACTGGCATATAGGTGTACATGTTTCTCTAGTGCCAGCTACTTGGGGAGTTGAAGCAGGAGGATCACTTGAGGTTAGCACTGGCAGGCATGTAGCTAAACCCTGAATTAATCCCTCTTCACTTTCCCCACAAAACCATGAGGAATTTATTCCCATTTCTTTCTGCCTCCAGTGCCTGACAATCATCAATCTATGTCTCTGTCCCTGACAACGGTCAATCTATTTCTCTGTACTTTTTATAAAAATATCATCCTGTAATATGTTTTACTGATTTAAAGACTTAGACATTTTATTTATGGTTTTTAAAGAACTTATTTATTTTACATACACTGGTGTTTGCCTGCATATCTGTAAGGAAGAGTCAGATCCCTTTGAAGAGGTGTTGCAGACAGCCATGAGCTGTCATGTGGGTGATTGGAATTGAACCTGGGTCGTCTGGGAGAGCAGCCAGGCTCTTAACTGCTGAGCCATCTCTCCAGCCCTATGTTAACAGTTTTTTTTTTTTTTTTTTTTGTTTTGTTTTTTGATACAAAGGTTAGGTACATTTTGGTGGGACCACCATGTTGAACAGATATGCATCAATTACAAACTTTCTGAGAATTATTTTCTAAGTGTTATCTGCAGAGAAGCTGGGTTTTATCAAATGGTTTATAAGTATAAACTGAATTAACCATGGCTTTTCTACTTTGTATTTATCTGTAAGTAACACTGGTGTGTTTCCTGTTAAAATATCCTTCCATTCTGGCCTTAAATCCTGTATGGTCATGGTGTATACTTTGAATACATTACTCAGTTTGGCTTGTCATTATTTTGTTGAGTTTGCATTTCTAAGGGTACTAGCTTATAAGTTATTCTTATTTCCCTTTTAAAATGGTGCAGGAGATTGAATCCAGGGCCCTGTGCCTATTAGTTATAAGATTTGCCACTGAGCTATAGCATTTAATGTTTGGCTGGCTGGGCCTGGTGGCACATGCCTTTAATCCCAGCATTTGGGAGGCAGAGGCAGGTGGCTCTCTGTGAGTTCAGGGGCAGCCTGGTCTACATACAACTCCAGGACAGTGAGAACTACAACATAAGAACACATTGTCTCAAAAAACAAACAGCTGGATAAACCAAAGCAAAAAACAAAAACAAACAAAAAAGTTTGGTGAAAATGTTTCTACTTTCATTTTTAATTTTAGTTGTCTTATATCTTTGTTACTCAAAGTTAACAGTTTTCTAATAATTAACTTTTTGCTGATTTTAATTCTTTATTTGCTTTATCTCTGCTTGCATGTTTTGTAGTTTCTCAACATTTAGAAGTTAATTTACTGACTCAGTATCTTTCTTTTTTTAAAACATCATTTGTTATTGTGTGGGTGTGGAGGTGCCAGAGGGGTTGCCTCCCCTCCCACCATTTGGGGGACGGCGCTCAGGCTGGCAGGCTTGCCCAGCAGCGTCTTTACATGCTGAGCCACTCTGCCAAACCTCTTTCCTTTTTTTTTTCTTTAAAGATTTATTTTTCTTTTTATTTATTATGTATGCTGCATGTGTACAGGTCCCTGTGGAGGCCAGAGCCAGATGTCTAGATTTCCTGGAGCTGAAGTGACAGGCAGTTATGAACTGCCTCACGTGAGTGCTGGGAACTGAACTCAAGTTGTCTGGAAGTGTAGCAAGTGCTCTTAACCCCTGAGCCATCTCTCCAGCCCTATCTTTCTTCCTTTTAAATGAAAGCAATCTACCACTATAAATGACTTTTGGCATTGCCTTCACTGCATCTCATTAACTGTTTCATGTTATTCTCAATCACTTATATTTGGATATTGTCTATTATATTTGGATATTTTCCTTGTGATTTCTTCATTGACCCACTTGTAGCTAGCTGTATTTCCCCAGGAAAATTTTTCATTTTTCCTGCTGTTACTGGTTAGAGAAGACATTTCATATTTATTTCAATAATGTAAAGTGTATTGAGACTAACTTTGTTATCTTACACATGGCTTCTGTTCTATGAAAATTTGAATGGTATTTCAGGTGGAGAGGTTTTGTATTTGGGAATTGGCTTGGGCTGCTTAATAGAGTACTGTAGGGTTAGAGGCTACTCTCAGTACTAAAAGGCTCTGAGACTCAGTTCCTAGCATCTCCTAGAAACAAAACATAAATTACCTTACAGTGGGTCATTTATAAATAATAGGAACTTATTGATCACACTCTGGAGGCTGACTAAGGAGCCTATAGATTCAGTCTGATGAGAGCTTCTAGATGGAACCTTTTATGTGTTCTTATGTGGTGAAAGGGCAAGGGGCAACCAAGTCCCCACAGGCCTCCTGCATAAGGGCAATAACCTCATTTAAAGACTACCTTTGTTGTCACCCAATCATTTTCTGAAAGCTGCATTTCTTTTTTTTTTTTTTTAATTTTGGCTTTTTGTTTTTCCGAGACATGGTTTCTCTGTGCAACAGCCCTAGGTGTCCTGGAACTCACTCTGTAGACCATGCTGGCCTCAAACTCAGAGATCCTCTTGCCTCTGCCTCCCGAGTGCTGGGATTGAGATGTGCACCACCATTGCCTGGCTTTTTTTGTTTTTGTTTTTTTGGTTTTAAGGCCACATTTCTTAATATCAATATACTAGAGATTAATTTCAGATATGATTTTCAGATGGACAAATTTGTAGAAGACCAATGTATATTAGGTTCAGTTGGTTTAGACCATTGGTTCTCAGAAGTTGAATATCAGGTATTTTACACTACGATTCATAACAGTAAAAAATTACAGTTATTAAGTAGCAATGAAATAATTCTATGAGTGGGGGTCACCACAACACAAAGGAATTGTATTATGGGGTCAAGACCCACTGGTTTAGACTGTTGTCCAAGTCTTGTATCTTCCCAGCTAACTCTAATGACCTTCCATCAGGGGTATTGAACTTTTGACATTGTGACATGATGTTATTATCTACAAATGTGTTGCGCTGCATTCATAACTATTCTGGGACGCATACAGGCTTCAAGATGAAGGTTGGACATGGATAGTAAACATTGCATATTGTTTTGTTTGTTTGTTTGTTTTTGGTGTTTTGAGACAGGGTTTCTCTGTGGCTTTGGAGCCTGTCCTGGAACTAGCTCTGTAGATCAGGCTGGACTCGAACTCACAGAGATCTGCCTGCCTCTGCCTCCCGAGTGCTGGGATTAAAGGCATGTGCCACCAATGCCCAGCTGTATATTGTTTTTATAACTAGTATACTGAGATATTGAATTACTATTGTAGAACTCTACTGATCCCTTCGAATCTATTGTAATTTGATTCATGTATTTGGTTTTTTTGGCATATATACTTAATAAGAACTATATCTTAATAAATCCACCCTTTAATAATTTATA